ATAGAGCGCTTGCCTTGAGCTGAAGAGTGCAGGGACAGTGCCCAGGGCAAAAGTTCAAGCTCCACGACTGACCAAAAAAAAAAAAAAAAAGCAAAGCTAGAAAAATAGTTTCTGGTCTCAAACCTCAAGAAAAGAAAAGTAATCTGGGTGCCAGTGGCTTACACTTGTCAATACCAACTACTCAGGAGGCTGAGATCTGAGGATTGTAGTTCAAAGCCAGCCCAGGCAGGAAAGTCTGTGAGACTCTTATCTCCAATTAATCACCAAAAAGCCAGAAGTGGATCTGTGGCCCAAGTGGTAGAATGCCAACCCTGAGCAAAAAAGCTAAGGGGCAGCACCCAGGCCCTGAGTTTAAGCTCCAGTATCTGCTCAAAATAAACAAAATAAAAATAGCTTTTCAGATCAAACAGTGTAAGTCCTTTAATTTTGTTTTCTTAAGGTTGTTTTGTATATTATAGGCCCTTGGCATTTCCATAAGAATCTAGAATCTACTTATTAATGTTTACTTAAAAAGTTTTCTGATAAAAAAAGTTTGCTGGGATTTTTATAGAGTTCCTATTAGGTCTCTACCTCAATTTTTTTGGCAGGGGGGGAGTGTATTGGGGATTCAACACAGGATGTTGCACTTCCTAGGCAAGTGTTTTGTCATTAAGCTACACTCTAGCCCTTCTATATCAATTTGACAGAGATTATCATCTGTTATGATAATTTTTTTTTGGTCAGTCATGGAGCTTGAACATAAGGCCTGAGTTGCCATCCTTAAGCCCTTTTGCTCAAGGTTAGTGCTCTACCACTTTGAGTCACAGTGCCACTTCTGGTTTTCTGGTGGTTAACTGGAGATAAATCTCACAGACTTTCCTGCCTGAGCTGGTGTTTAACTGCAATTCTCAGATCTCAGCCTCCTGAGTAGCTACAATTACTGGTGCCCAGTTTGTTATGATCCATGTATTTGTCATTTCTTTTTGTCTACCTTTTCTCTTTTTTGATGGTATTGATATATTAATGTATCTCTTCCCTTACCAGATTCTCATTTCACTTTTATACCATAAGTTGAAGAAATCTACAAGCTTGGTTCTCAGTAGCCTGTGTCGTATTTGTTGGCTTAGACTGTTAGTTTAGAATACATGCAGGCTTCTGATTTGAATTTTTCTCACTATTCTTAAGTCTAGGTTCCTTTTGTGTAGGAATCGATGGTAGTACAACACTCAGGTGCTTTTTCCTTTGATGGAGACCAGAGTAACCAGGTCTGCTGACTACTTGTCTGGATGCACTCGATGCGCTCTATTCACTACAGTAAAAGGAAACGACACATTTATGAAGGATTGCTGATCTTCTTTCTCTCCTTCCTTAAAGTATGGCTAGGGTTTTATAATATGGAAAAAATTACACAGTGGAACTAATGACATGGAACCACAAGTTACCCAAACAACTTTTCATCATTTGTCTTAATTATCCTTATTCTTAGACTAAGGATTAGCAGTCATATTACTGCTTTAGTTATTGATACATTATTTGCAAGGATTATTATAATGTTAAAGGACAAGAGGCAGGCCAAGCCATACCAAATAGCTATTAGTTTACTGAATTTCTTGGAAAAACAAAACAAATACTGGATTTTAATTTGCCACAATCAGAGAAATTATTATTATTATTTATTTCTATTATTTGTCAGCCATGGAGCTTGAACTCAGGGCCTGGGCACTGTCCCTGAGTCTCTTTGTCCTTGAGGCTAGCTCTACCACTTGAGCCACAGCACCACTTCTGGTTTTCGAGTGGTTAATTGAAGCAAGAATTTCATAAGGACATTTCTGCCAGGGCTGGCTTCAAACCATGATCCTCAGATCTCAGCTTCCTAAGTAGCTAGGATTACAGGTGTGGTCCACCAGTGCTCAGTGAGAAATTATTTTTAAATGGATTTTTTTTGTTATAGAAGCAGCATAGCTCATTTTAGAAAATAGAGAAAAGGGGAAAAACTTCTTACACAATAAATATTGGCCTTTTATTTTATTCTTTTTTAAAGATTTTTTTCCCTTTCTATATATACTTTTTTTTTTTTTTGTCAGTCATGGGGCCTGAACTCTGGGCCTGGGCACTGTCCCTCAGCTCTTCAGCTCAAGGCTAGTGCTCTACCACTTGAGCCACAGCACCACTTCTGGCTTTTTCTGCTTATGTGGTGCTAAGGAATTGAACCCAAGGCCTCATGAATGTAAGGCAAGCACTCTACCACTGAGCCACCTTTCCAGACCCTATATATACTTTTAATACAGTTGTGTTCACAATATATGCACAATATTATCCTGTTTTTTAAATTTGACATTAAGTATTTTTTTTTCTTTTCTTGTTGGTCGTGGGAGTCTTGGCGCTGTCCCTCAGCTCTTCAGCTCAAGGCAAACTCTTTACCACTTGAGCCATACCACCACTTCCATTTCTCTGGTGGATCATTGGAGATAAGAGTTTCATGGACTTTCCTGCCTGGGCTGGCTTTGAATCACGGTCCTCAGATCTCATCTTCCTGAGTAGCTAAGATCACAGGCATGAGACACCAGTACCTGGCTAAAATAATCAGTTTCAATACTTAAAACACTCCTTTTGTATCTTTGCTCCAATCAGAGTGAGGAAGATATTGTAAGCCAGGTACCAGTGTCTTATGCCTGTAATCCTAGCTACTCAGGAGGCTAAGGTCTGAGGATCATGGTTCAATGCCAGCCTGGGCAGGAAAGTCTGTCAGACTCTTATCTCCAATAAACTACTCAGAAAAAGCTGGAAGTGGTGCTGTGGCTCAAGTGGTAGGGTGCTAGCCTTGAGCACAAAGAGGCTCAGGGATAGCACCCAGGCCCTGAGTTCAAGCCCCAGGGCCAGAAAAAAAAATTGTAGTTGGTAAACCACAATTTTGTGATTGTGGCAATCCCTAGTAAAAACCAGTCATTGCTACTGCTCCAATGTATTTAGATGAATATAGACACAAATATACATCTTTATGATCTAGGAACACCGTAGTAATAAGGAGGAGATAGTGGGGATAACACTAATACATATTACTAGGTATTTGGCTGTATAGGAAGGAAGGGATGGGACCTAAGCTTGATAGGAGAGGGTACTGAGGAAGTGGAGTGGAGTAAGTAGAAAAGATCTAGTTAACATTGTGTTGGTAGGAATGAGGTGGAGAAATAAAGAAAATTAAGTAGATAAGCACATTCACAAACAACGTCCAAAACATGAAAAAACTTACACAAACAAAACCAAATTATTTTAGGGTGCTCTAGCTACCAGGTAATGAAGGATAAGGGATGGTATGAACAAGAGAGCAGTTCTGCTTTAGATAAAAGGAAAGTGTAAATGGACAAGAGCTATTAAAAGAAAATAAGCTTTAAATTAAATATTGAAAGGCAAACGTTGTGGTTCATTATGATGGCTTCAAAGAAAACAAAGGCAAGGCAAAGCAGAACTAAAAAGTAAATGGGGCCAGTGCCATTGGCTCACTCCTGTAATCCTAGCTATTCAGGAGGCTGAGATCTGAGGATGGTGGTTTGAAGCCAGCCTGGGCAAGAAAGTTTGTGAGACTCTTGTCTCCAGTTAACCACCAAAAAACAAGACATGGAGCTGTAGCTGAAATGGTATAGAGCCCTAGCCTTGAGTGAAAAGCTCAGGGATAGCACCCTACAGGACCGCGGAGAACACACACACACACACACACACACACACACACACACAC